AAAAGTAACTAAGTAACTAAGTAATTAATTACTTTTGAAAATAAGTAATCAGTAAAGTAACGGGATTACTTTTTTGGGGAAGTAATCAGTAATTAGTTACTGATTACTTTTTTCAAGTAATTGACCAACACTGGTCAAGTTGCAGCAACAGAACCAATGCTAAGATTTCAGAATAAGAAAAAGAGGTTTAAAGAGGTTTACCTGAGCTGTGAAACATTGCCAATGGACTAATGAAAACTGGAAGAAGGTGTTATGGAGTAAAGAATCAAAATCCGAAGTCTATGATCTTTGTACAGTATTGAGGAGGCAAAAGGACAGTTCCTCAATCTGTACCCCTGAATACATTGTGGTTAAAAATGGATTGCATGATTCTTTTTTTAACTTGAATTGTTTATTTGTTCTATGCTTACAGAGTAAAAGGAATAATTGAACTGTCTGAATTTCAATAAAAAAACTGGAAGAATTGGGGTTCTGTGAAACTGACTGGTAGTGTATTACTGTATGTGTTCCAGGTTGACCCTGGTCCATATTTTGATTCCTGTGTGAGAGACTCCTGTGCTTGTGACACTGGTGGGGACTGCGAATGTCTCTGTACTGCGGTGGCTGCATATGCTAAAGCCTGTAATGAAGCTGGGACCTGCATTGCATGGAGGACTCCAAAGTTTTGTCGTAAGTCTGATTAATGTAATTCAATTCAATTCAATTAATTTTATTTATATAGCGCCAAATCACAACAACAGTCGCCTCAAGGCGCTTTATATTGTACAGTAGATCGTACAATAATAGATACAGAGAAAAACCCAACAATCTTATGACCCCCTATGAGCAAGCACTTTGGTGACAGTGGGAAGGAAAAACATCATCAATGCTGTAAAAGTCTAATAAGCAATGGTTTTGTTTCTTGCAGCTATTTTCTGTGACTACTATAATTCACCTGGTGAATGTGAGTGGCACTATAAGCCTTGTGGAGCTAATTGCATGAAAACATGTAGGAATCCATCTGGAAACTGCTCGTCACTCATCACCAACCTGGAAGGTACACTAGGCACAGTATTGATATGCCACTTTGTGGACTCTTTATTTTTGTTTTAAATGTGGAGCTTAAGTCAACAGAACAACAGACCGTATCCCTGCCTATGACACAGTGGTTCACAAGCTTTTTACATCATTCCCCACATGGAAGGAAGGAATGTTTTCACGTCCCATCTAAACAAAACAATGACAGAAAAGCCTACCTGCAACTGTATTTAGATAATGAACTCATTCACAATGAATCCTTCAGTAATTTTTGTTTTAAACAAGCAACTTTCATTTCAAACAACTATTTGTAACTTTTGTCACGAGACAGCTTCCTTAGTCTACACCACTTCTTCAAAAAAGCAACAAGTTAAACAGAATGTGAACATTGCCAAACATGGAAAAATACAGTCCAGTCTTAGTCTTATAAAAAAGAAATCCAGAGACTTGTGAACAGAGATGAAAAATATATAATTTAGTGAGGGTTCAATACTATTCACTCTTATTGGCTGTAGTAAGCCTGTTTTTGACTGCAGAGCTGTGGCAGGGCGTGGTCTGCGGCATGGCTGTGGGGGAGGCGGATGTACATGAGCAGCAATCACACCTTGCTGGTGTTCCGGCTTAAAACAGAATGAACTAAGTCCTTTTGTGGTTGTGGTTGTTGTTGTTGCTGTTGTTGTGTGTAGGCTGTAGCTGAAAAGCTGCAGCCACGTGCGTAAGTCAACAGCTGCAATAAAGAAGTGTACTGAAAAGTGTGAACATGTCTGTCCCGCATCGTTTACCCAGGATTGGAGCATGATAGGTGAAGGAGAGGCAAATTGTGAAATGTTTACAAAAAAGCTTTGCATGTATTGTACTTGTAAATTTACTCAAGTTAACCACTATTTTAAAACATCGTAGGCTGCTATCCACAGTGTCCCCCGAACCAACCCTACTTTGATGAAGACACTATGAAGTGCGTTTCCGGGGACCAGTGTGGATGTTATGATGACCAAGGCAACCATTACAACATTGGTGAAAAGGTTCCATCAGAGAACTGCTACACCTGGTATGTCTCACACAAGATTCATCATTCCATCAATTTTAGCACACAGTACATAATGATGCACGTAGAATTCAACATGTGGTCTTTTGATGTAAGTATATAAAATATAATACACGGTGCCATTAAAAAGTATTTGCCCACTTTCCGATTCCTTTTACTGGAGTCTTTCACATAACTTTAGAGACAAACTGTTTGTGTGAGACAAAACTCTTCTATACTCCCGGGAAGGTTCACTGCTGGTTCAAGTTTTCATTGTGTATGGATAAGGGCTGTCATAGTGGCTTTGTAACCCTTTTTAGAATTGTATATGATAAAGTTATTTCTCAGGTAATTCTTCAGATTTTGGCCTGATGAATCGCTTTTTAAGATCATTTAACCTACTGCACTTTGACAGGGGAAAAGGACTAGGTAAATGTAAATATTTTATTACTCTATTATTTCAATGATCTGAAAAAAAGGAAGTAGAAAGAAGGCAAAAACTTTCTCATGGCACTGTATGTGAAATATACAGTTATTGAGAAGTAAATGTGATGTTTAACATGCCACAGTGAGTGTATAACCAGACACAAATGAAATAACCACAACGTTGTTTTCTTTCAAGCTTATGTACAATGTCGGGGATACAATGTAACTACAGTGTTAACTGTAAGTATACTATAAGCTTGTAAAGCTATGCTATAAATCTATTGCTTGGCAAATTGAAAAAAACATTTGTTTTCAAATTTAATTTATTATATATAATATAATAAATATTTATGAATTAATTTGTATTTACAAAAAGACAAAATGTTTTACTTGTAGATTGTACATGTCTCATTAATGGAAAAATGTACAACTATGGGGACAATATCTACAACACAACTGATGGCCTAGGAAACTGCATCACAGCTGAGTGTGCAGAGAATGGAATTGTAACAAGGAGCATATACCCCTGCTTTATTACCACAACAGCTGGGCCAACAACAACAACTCCATTTACGTTTAGTACAATACTAAACACCACTTCAGGTATTAAACTGATGATTTCTCAAAGATATAGATAGAGTATTGAGAAATATTGAGAAAATTTAATTGTATTATGGAAGTATATGCATGTTTTAATGTCATGTCATTGTATTTTGTCACAGTTATTAGTACTACATCTCCATTAAATACTACATTTGAATTTGAAACCAC